AGATTTCACAACCACATATCGACCTCTCCGGAAACTATTTTCAAGGCAATTGATGGACTAATACGAAATGCAATCTTGTCAAAAAAGAAGCGTAAGAAATTTGTTGATCTTATGCAAACATAGCTTTCTTATGACTAATTAAAGTATGTTGACCTTCTTTTAAATAGTATAGGCTCCTTCTTGTTTTTTTATCCTTTTTTAGCAAGAAATAGCCTCTTAGTTCTAACCCATTTGTAATATGCAAAAATTTACAAGCTCTGGTTTGAAAGAAACACTAGATTTCACAACCACATATCGAACTCTCCAGAAACTATCTTCAAGGCAATTGATCCACTAATACGAGATGTAATCTTGGCAAAAAAAAAAAACATAAGAACTTTGTTGATCTTATGCAATTCTGGCTTACTTATGAGTAATTAAAGTATATTGACCTTCTTCCAAATAGTATAGGCTCATTCTTTTTTTTTCATCTTTTTTTGGCAAGAAATAGCCTTTTAGTTCTAACTATTTGTAATATTTACAAACATTTTCATTTTAAATGAATTTCAAATACTTATCCAAAAAAAAACTTATGGGATATAGTGTATTTATAGATAACCTCCCTTTGAAAATGATTTCGATATTGTGATATATGTTTTGACTTTCATCGGTGATATAAAGCGGTAAGAACTTTTTGCGATTCTGCTTAACAACTTCAATTAACGTAACAAAGGAATTCGCCCACATTGACACAACTAAATATAACTTAAGGAACACAAATCGTAAACGAAAGAGCATATGATTGTCAGATTCAGCATTCGATTGGCGTTTTGTGCATGTTGGGTCTTTTGAGTCTACGAGTCAAAGTTATCAGCCAATGGTAGACAACTATTCGTTATTGTAACAAAATAAAATAGTGAGGGATTACCAATCAAAACTAACGGTCTACTTATTAATAATTAAACTTATTCGTTGTTGCTAAAATATTTTGGGTTTTGGGTTTTCATTTGCGAGTTGCGATGATCTTCCATGCACATGTGATGCGGCTATTGATATGGTTGTACTAAAAGATATACATAACTTTTTCTACATAAAAACAAAAAAAAAACTAGTGAGACGTTTTTTACATATTATTTTTAATCTATTTGTCCAACTCACAGGAAAAAAAAATTGGTTATTTCCTAATACAATAATCCCAAGTTCGGAAGAAGCTATTATGACCGGACGCAGAGCCTTTCAAAAAGTAGAATAATTTTCCGCGAACTGAAAAGAATTGTTATGAATAGTTTTATGGGATCCCATAGTTTTATTAGAAAAACAGAAAATCTTACTAGTAGATGTTCTAATATCAATTGTTATGTATAGTTGATAATTATGTGACATATTCTTCTTCTTTTTTTAATGGGATGTGAGCTTAATCAGCTGTCGTTTTATTTTCCATGTGAACCAATATCTCTCATACTGCTCACATAAGATATCAATCACGAAAATGTTTTTTTTTTAAAGATGCTACCAAGAAATTCGAATAAATTACGTTATATAATTAATAACCCCCACATTCAATTTTAAAATATATCCCTCACTCTTGTATTTCCAGTTAAAGTATTGTGATCAAGATATTTAGAATCTCGGGGTAGATTCATTAAGGAAAGTTTATACTATATGTTTATATATGTTAGTATTTAATTACAGCCTATGAATAATGAGGTTCAACGAATCTGACAGATCAATCGGCGCATTCAGTTAATCAACAGGGTTATAGTAGTAAAAAATCGGCGCATTTAGTTAATCAATTAAGTTCATTTCTGAAATGGCATTTTTATATACATAGCATTGTTTGTTGTCAAACAATAGTCCAATTTATCATAGATAATTCATAAAAAAAAAATCATACTGTATTAGAGGTATCATCACAAAAACGCAGATATAAACCCAAACAAAAAAAAAACAAATGAGCCATCATTTGTTCTAGTTTGAGCTATTTTTCGAATCAAGGGAAGGTCAAGTAACCGATGCGCTTTTGCTTCTAAGAAATTGTTTAACTATCTGAAAGGAGTCTATAAGTTATACCAAAAAGAGCACTGAATCTTACCATTTCTAGTTTCACAAGACATGAAGAAGTCCTTCGCTAGGTGTTTGAGTTTCAACTGTTGTTTCCACATTAATGATCCACAGCTATTTCGAGACAGATTTCAAAAAGACTTCATTTTGAACTTGTATTATCTAGAGATTTCCGAAGTAATTGATTATATGTTCATATGTATAACACAATTAGACTTAAAATAACAGAGTTAGTTCACCTAGTCAATAAAATTACTATGTAATTTATATAACGACATAACATAACTTAATCTACATTCTACTACACGATGTTTACATTTTCTATTTTTTTAGCAGTTCGAACTCGTATAATTTGTCAAATTGTTTTTAATTTCGGAGTTCGATTTAAATTTAAAAACACTAACCATCTTACGTGATGCGTTTCGACCAATAGTGTGTGTTATGATTAAATAGTTAAATTCAAAGTCATACAAGTATACCTTGTGTTACCAAGAAATAATGAAGCAAAAGATTGTATTTTATACAATTTGAGAATAGGCCAATACCCATCCGATTGGTGGTTGGTGAACCGACGCACCTCTCGTCGTATGATGTACATGCAATGTATAGCATACCATAATTTTTATGAGGACGCGGTCTTTATTTTTTATCTAACATAATGGAAAATGAATGCATACAACAAAAAGTCCCATGTTTGTTTTGTTCTGTAGCTTCGAGGATAACATACGAATTCTTGATATCTCTAATTAGGACATCATCTTCTTCCATCAATCATCATATGCTTTTTTTGTTATATAACTAACTTATGAATAAGTCTTTAGTTATATACTAGATAACTATATGTTTGTCTGAGCCTCGTCGGAACTACAATTTTCCATTAATCATTTGGTATATTTAAAAAGTTTATAGTGATAAAAAAACAATTTATGAACGGTAATCGAGGCAAATACCCCGTTACAACTTACAATTACAGAGAGAAGTTCTAGTATAAGTTCACAAGGTTACGGAACAGAGTTTGAAAGAAAACAGATATACTCCAACTATACTGGCATCAATGTCATATCAATGCATGGCTCTAAGTAGGAAACAAAAATATTTTTTTAAGACGACGTAGAAAAACTTATTATGAAGGCTCGGAAATCAGAATGTATGCAAAGCATTTTCTCCATTACTCCATAACACTCTGAAGTGAAAACACTTATTTTGATCATCATTTGCATGATCAAACATTAGTAGATGGCAATCTATTATATAATGGGAGAGTTTTCTCTCCATCTAGGGTGTCCACATCAGCATAGAAAAAAACTAAAATTAATGATTTAATTAATTTACACATTTTAAAATAGTATTATTTTCATTTATAATAAAAAAAACACTAATACTAAATTTAATGACTTAATTAATCCACATATTGTTTGTAATTATTTTTTTATTAAGAAGAAGAAGAGTAGAAGTTGGAAAAAATAATAAATACTTAGTTAAAGAAAAAAACGATGATGAAAATGAAAATAATAGACGATGAAAAAGAATACATACACGAAAAATAAAAGAAGAAAGACGAAAAAAAAATATAAAGGAAAATACATAGATGAAGATAAAAAAAAATAATACATTCACAAGATAAGTAAAAATAAGAGACGAAACAAAAATAGAAAAAAATAAAGAAAAACCGAAAGAAAAAAAAATAGAAGAAATAGAAGTCGAAGAAGATGAAAAGAACAATGAAGAAAAAGAAATATAAAGAAGAAAAAGAAGAAGACAAAACTGATGAAGAGGAATATCAGAAAATATTAGGACAAAAATGTTGAAGATGAAAAAAAGACAAAAAATATAACAAACTATGATAATATGAAAATAAAAAATGAGTCTAATAAAATCAAAAACAATAATAAAACAAATATAGTAAATTAACTGTTTAATAATTAAAATTCCGCTCAATGCGTGGATAAGTAGTATTTTAATTACAATATACTGCTTCACATTTGTGAAAATAACAACTACAGTGGCGGAATTTTGAACATTTCATACACATATTTAGAAATTTTAAAATTATATATCATATGTCTTTAATGAATTCAAAATGACTTAAATACATTACAGAATTTTGGTGAATAGTGTTCCCGGTAAATGATGGGTTTAAATACCTTTTTCCCATTTTGGTCACATATGTATGATATTTGTATAAGATGTTTAAAATTTTCAAAATTCACATATTATAGATTCGTTTATTTACAAATTAAATAGTGATATGATAGCACATATTGAGCGAGTCTATGTTACATGGAGGATTTGAAGCAAGAAAAGGTCAAAACACTTGGATAGATTCTGAGTTAAGTAAATTAACTTCATTAATTATAGTCAATCATACAGACATTAGAATTTTAGCTGGCCAAATCACTTTTTTCTCAAATGAAAATCTCCTTTTAACCCAATTTTAACAACTAAAATTGGCCAGCTACCAAGGTTTATACATCAATCATCTGTCAAAATCTCCCTCCAATCACCATGTATATTTCCATAATCCTTCAATTAATATTTTAATTCAAATACTTTTTAAAAAATAAACAAAGATCCCAAACATCCTCCTTAATTCCTGAAGATCTGCCGAAAGTATTTTTAAACGAAAAGTATAATATTTTCAAGGTCAAAGCAAACGAAAATTGTTGTATTAATTTCTTTCTGAGCAGGTCTCCACAAAAACAAAAACAGTGGTTTCGATAATTATTACTAACATGAAAAATTAAAATAAATGAACAAAATGATGTATTACGCAATTACAGAACTATTACATATTACGCAATTACAGAACTATTAAGCAAACATTTTTGGTTAGCTCAAAAACTTGGATCAATTCTTCTTTTTTATGCTAAATCACAGAACGGCTATACAGAAAAATATCATTCGATAAAACTTTTCCGAATCACATACTATGTATATCTAACACCAACAAATCATAGCCATTGACAATTAAAAAGAATTTAATATTTCCCTGCCTTTCTAAATACAAGAGCTTAAGAAACAAGAAAATGATCAAACTAATAAACTGTAATAAAAAAAAAAGAGAGCTTCTTAACAATTACTTCAAACAAAACAAAAAATTATGCCAAAAGAAAATAACAGAAAATCTCAACCTCTGTACAATGGAGACCTTTGTTGAAATATCATCTTCGAGACTCTCGATTGCCGGAAAACCTTAATCGGGCTCGGAAAATTCCACCCTTTTCCTTTTACCGTCGCCGGAACCGGCGAAAATCTCGATTCTCCGGCGACCGCAACGGATCTCGACTTCCTCATGATCGCCGGCTTCGTATCTCCTCCTCTGTTTCTCATAAACATCCTCCAAAACGATGACGTTTTCCTGCCCCTACCATGATCCGACTCTAGACCCGACCCGGAATCAATAACCGCATCCGGTTTAATCGGAACCGCCATCGATTTCGATCGCCGAAACGCCGGTTCGCATTCGATCAAACTCGCGACTCGCCCTACCGATCCGATCCCGGAGAAGTTGAAATTAATATCTCCGGAGAACAGGGAGAACGATGAGGAAGACGAAGAAGACGACGGAGAAAAATACACGGCGGCGCGTGAGCTACACGAGCAGGGAAGATCGTGAGCACAGTCAGGGCAAAGGGAAGAGAGTCGTTCGTGGAGACAATAAGGGCAAACGCCTCCGCCGCAAACAAAACCGCGTTTCGAAAAGTGTTTGGGACATTGCGAATAACCATCTTCGTCCATTTTAGCAGAAATTTTCTCGCGTTTTCTCTTCACTTTCTCGGAGTTTTTGAAGAAGTGAGAGAGCACAAGGAGAGAGAGATTTATAAAGCCTTTATTCTGCGTTTTAACTACGGTTAAATTATTATAGCGTTTGGTAAATAATTACACTAACCGTATGGTTTAACTTCGAAGCGTAGGATAATTATGACTTTAATTGACTAAACGGTGCGTTTCATTAGCTTACTGAGATAACTCCGACGTTTGATGTTTATTTACGTTTATGCCATCGTCATTGGAACCATTCAGTTCATTCACGTGTGGCACGACTTTGGACTCAAAAACAACTTTGCATTATTAAATGAAACGAATTGAAATTTGTTTATATTTCAAACTATAACGAAATTTCAATTCAGATTCGTATTTCAAATTCCGGTTCAAACTCAATTTGGTTCGATTTATATGCCAGAAAGTACCATTAGTCGTACAGATCATGTTGCAAAAGAGATGAGACTTAACAATGTGAAATTGTTTTTGACTTCTAAGTCATACGATTCGAATAAATTCTAGTGTTGATATTTATAGTTATTTCTTTCATAATAGAGCTAATCGCAGAGCATAGCGACATGAAATTTGTTCCTGCCGAAAATAAAGTGTGTTTCAAGTCGATGAAAACGAAAAATTCTATACAGGTTTTTTTTGGGTCTGTTGAATTTAATAGAGAATTGAATAGCCATCTTTAAATTTTAAATTTCAAAAAAGAAATGATGTAGATTGAATTATTTTTAAAATATCAAAATGAATTCTACAAGTGCACGAATCAAAATATTTGACGTGTAGAAATAAAAGCATGTATGTATTTAGACAAAGACAGTTCCGAGTTATGGAGACATGCTTACTTACAAAGAAAGCGACCTGACCAGCTAAAGGTTTAGATAACAGCCACTTGATTTCTAGCCAAAGATTGTGATTAACTCAAAGTTGTTATGTTATTAAAGGGAAATTAATCCTAACACATAAAATTGGACAAAAACGAAACTACAAAACGAATCTAGCTCTCTAATTCGGTGGATTCGCATAGAACTTTACATGTAGCTCGGCTTACGACAAATTTGTCAAAACCAACAAATACGCTTCTTTTTGTCAAATCCAAATACAGTTACCCGTTACAAATAATGTGTTACAAATTATTATTTTTCAACAGATAGTCAAATCCAACAACAAATAGTATTTTTTGTTGCTAAAATTACAAATTAGTCTTACGTGCATCTGCAATCTGCAACAAATTAAACTTAGCATATATGCAATAGAGAGACTGAAAACTAGTAATTTAACGATAACACTAGCTCAAACCACTATATTACAGATCTTATTTATAAAAAAACTTTATCCTATCAGATACATGGGTTTAAAATCAAATAACTATATGTAATTCATATCTGCCTTGGTCCACAAGAATTTGGTTTTGATGATTTGGGCTTTGTTGTTGAATAATTAAATTAACATTTCATCGATGCGACTCTCAGTATCAGACAGTTGAGGGATGAGCCTCAAAACGCCTTATCATTTATGGGCCTGTTTATTGCGCGCCCAAATATATTCAACTAAACAAATTTTCTCGATTAATTTTGAATTTAAATGTCAAATTTGTTTAAACAACAAAAAAAGAAATACAAAGAGTAAAAATAAATGACAACCTTAAGAATAACAAAGACAAGTTTGCTATCAAAAACCCCTTGCCAAAAACCACCATTGAAGAACTTATTCATAACGGTGAGACTTGAGAGTGCTTACCCCTCCGAAGTGAGCAGTTAAATATTATTCTTTTTAGAAAGCTAACAAATACGAATTTTTATTGTCAAATCCAAAAACAGTTTTGGACCCGTTACTCCTACAGTCCTGCTATGTAAAAATAAAAATAAGATATTTTGAAAGCTAAGAAATATGGGTTTTGTGTCAAATTCAGCCAATATTTTGTTGGTAAGCTATCGAAAATATACATTTTTTGAGCTCTGTCTATACTTTGCTCAAGCATCGAACAGGTCTAACGTTACACGTTAAGTGCCTTTGCACACGAACGAGCTACAAGAGCTAAGCTCATTCTTTTTCATTTCTTCTAAAATTTAGTGAACGTTATTTAATAATTTATTTCCATCCTTTTCACTATCGATGTCAACAAATATAACCATTATTCTAAAAGAGAAGTGCCCCCTTTCGAAAAAAATAAAATAAAAAATTGGCACTCGAATTCTTTGCTTTGTCTATTTATTCTCTGGACGGACATGCATTAGGAAACGATAGTCGTACATGCATAGATATTGGTACAATATAACTTAATATTAAAATAAATTAGCAGAAATAAAAAAGTGCAAATTAGTTAGTCATTTACATTTCAATAAACATTATAAAACTAAAAAATTATATAATAAAAATCTTAAATCATTTTTACTTTTACTGTTTTAAAATAACGATCGCTATTTTGTACCGCCAAATTTTATGGATGATTGATTTACATATTTGAAGGTACACTTCTGATCGCATTGGTCACTTCGGTTACCAGTTAACTAACAGATCCAAAGACATTTTTGGTTATCGTCCAAAATATTTAAAAGTTGGGAAGTGATCATCTATACCATAAAAAAAAAATAACTAAAGTGGAGGAAAACAAAAGACACGTCAGATGACAAGTGGGTTATGTGACACGTGGCCTTAAAAAGTCATAATGCCCCTACCCACACTTGCTTTCAGTTCCACTTCCACACAAGTTGCTGATTTTTTTCCCATGCCCAACGCTTCGCGACAAAAGATAAAACACACATTCGCTTTCTCACATGACGACACGTGGCAATCATCCAGATTCATGATCATTTTTTCCAGATCACAATTAAACACAAAGGAAGTTTTTTTTTGAGCTTTTTTTTGGACAAAGGAAGTTTTTCCACTCTTTTATTTGTTTTTTCCCGTCTAATTCAATAATGGAGGTTGGAGAATTTTAAATACGCAATTCCAAAACGCTATTCTATATTCTAATTATTGCAATCTTTTACGATATCCTCCTCTATTCGAACTAAACTAAAAATATATGCTTTTAAAAGTGTTACATAAATTACAAAATATTTCTTAATTCAGTAATGGTCGGCGCTAAAGAAGGTTCTTCTTACTCACACCAAAACTAGAAATGACGAGACCTTACGGTAAAAGTTGAGAAGGAAAGGGAATGAAAGCTTTAGATACGAGAGTAAATAAATTTAAGTTTTAGAGAAAATAGTACATAGATATACCAATTAATAGCTTTGATTGATAATTTTATTTGAAGTAGTTTAAGATTCAACCGTTCATTTGGTTACCAATTAAACGGGCCGATAGAACATGTAGATAAAATGGATGATTAAAATAAGTGGTTAAAAAGATGGATTGCAGCACAAACTAGGTCGTGGTGAACCGCTAAAAATTAGGTGAGTACAACCGTTTTGTTTGCTAAACGAGGGATTATATGTTTCTTAATTTTATAATATTTGTATATATTTATCGATACAATTTTTTTTAAAAAGATTTAAAATTAAACTAGAACTTAGAAATAGTTGTTATATTTTTACAAGAATTTTTAACTATTCAACCGCTTATTACCAATCATAATTATTACTTAAACGTTAGTTTAGTTTAACCGTTTTTATTTTTGCTATTTATGACCTATTTCCTTAACTAATCTTCTTACCAATTGTTTAAACAAAGTTAAATTGTTGACAAAAACAAAAACAAAGCAAAGTTACCAATTAAATACAATATATTAAATCATTGGATCTACATTTTATATCCTACAATCTTAAAAAACTAAGCCGAAAGATTTATAATTCATTCGGTAAAGTTTAATGGATCAGGGGCAACAACAAGTTGACAGTTATTTAATTAAAAGTATAAATATCAAAAGAAAATCGATAAAGATCTTCTAATATATGTTCAAGAAAGATATTTAATATAATGAAGACACATATTTTCAGGATTAATTCTCATAAGCATCAAAGTCTATAATGAAATTATTTGATGTAGTAATGTTATACTAGGCAATATATTTTTAAAATGTACAGTTATTTTTGTAACACTTGTGTATTCAAAAGTCATTAAAACGATAAAACAAATACTAAAAATAAGATATAAAGATCGCAATCAAATGACATTAAAAAGATTTATATTATATGTTATATATTACGTTTGAAAAGATGATGAGCTTACCAAAACCTTCTAATCAACAAGAAAATTCTGACAAGTTAAGAGAAAAAATAGATGTAAGATATAATTTCTAATTATGTTCATAAAATATATGCATTAGGAATCTTATATCTCATTTTTGTACAAACATTAGGAGTATCTACTATTTGGTTTTGTCAGGTAAAAAGAGTTGTATATATATATATATATATAACCAAAAATTAGTGGACCAATCGATAAGAGACACAGAAATATATATATATATATTACATATATATACCAAAAATTAGTGGACCAATCGATAAGAGACACAGAAAACATTAAACATATTAGCAAACCATTTCGCATAAAAAAAAAACATTAAGCATGTAATATTCTAATTAGGTCTTTTGTCGTCTATTTCCGGCAAGCGACTTATAAATATAAAAATCCGTATTATAGAGTTATAGTATTAGAAACCACAGACGATTGACTTAAACCAGACCCTCAAATAATTGGAATTAGAGAATAGAGTATAAAATAAACAATGGAGCTAGTCTACGCTATTATTCAAAGGATTGGTTGAAAACTTAGCCAACCCAATTAATATTCTTTCCGTTGCTTCATCCAAGACTCATCCCGCACAATATATTTTCATTTATTAATTAGTAATTTGCATGATGGTAAAAAATTGCGAGATTCAGTATTTTTACTAATCGTAATTTTTGTTGTTGTTGTTTGTAATGTTAACAATTAGGCCTAATTATAATATCAGGTTGACCAAAGTATTGAAAAAAAAATATATATATATATATAGAAGGCCCTTTAACAAATATATACATATATAATGTATATACATAATGACTAGTTTTCTTATGCACTCAAAATACTAGGTTTAATATATACTTTAGTAATTTAAAATTATTAAAATAGAAAATAACGTAGCTAATTTTAAGTAATAAGCCTGTGTGAAATGAAAAACTATAATCTATGGCTAAACGATTCATTTATGCAGCTAAGATGTGATCAAACATCAAAGTGTGTATTAAATATTAATATTGTCCCTCCGTTTCATTAGCATTCATATGTGAGTTGTAGATGAAACAAAATGTACCCTAACTACTACCTTCCGTTTCATAAAGAGTGTTATTCTGACATTTTTCACACAAATTAAAAAATACGATAAAAAGTCTTTTATACCCTTATTAATTTGCAGAAAATGATTCTTGGAATTATATTTATAATTAATTTTCTGAATTTATTGATGTTAAAAATGGTATTTTATGTTAAAAATTATATTGAAATTCTAAAACGACATTCATTTTGAAACAAAAAAAAAGAGTGTCAGAACGACACTCTTTGTGAAACGGAAGGAGTAATATTTATTAGAATAAAACGAATGATATGTTTTGTCACTGTTCAATAAAGGAGGTTGATGTAATTGAACACTTAAAAGAATAGTATTAGGACAAAACAAAATAAGCAAACAAGAAAGAGGTTAAGGATTAGGACAGAACAAAAATAAGAGTGTCCATTGATTAGGGCTGACAATATCTTTCTTTTTCTCATTGTACATTCCGATCCACTAAATTAAAGAGGTTATTCTGCATATAATAGTAACATAAATGGCATCATCACATTACAAAACATTCATGCCAACCATTCATAATTATTAATTATTGACATTTATTTATACACATACAGCAATTTTATTTTAAAATTCATATACTATTTTCTAGTTAGGTTTTTGTACACAGATATCCATAACTTAAGACTCATCCATAATAGACCGATATGCGAAAAGAAGAATGTCCAATTATTCGTTGATAGTCAGGTAAGATTTTCATAGTTCCCGAAATAAAAATCAACAGCCAGAGTTTAGAACGTGATACTAGTCAGTAAAACGTAGGATTGACCTCTTATTATCCTCTATAACCTATAATCATGACGTCAATACGATAGCGTGATAAACACGGATCAAAACCAAGCCATTATTTACCATGTCACCTACTACACCACCGATTGTGCCACCTTGAAAATTACAGAATCAAGGAAAATAATTGGTTAGTCCACATTGACAAAATAACACAAAGACCCGCATAAGTCAGTTGAATCAAATCTGACCGAACTAATAACCCATATAAAGTTCATATAAACACTATCAAAAGATAAAAGAAAGGAGGATATACAATCAGACTGATAGAATCATGGTCGAGATGGGAGCTAAGTACGAGGAACAAATCGAGGTTCAGCCCGGAACGCAAGATCAAATGGTCGAGGTGACCGAGCTGAGCGAAGTCGAGGTTCAGGGAAAGGTACAAGACCAAGATACCGACCAGCCCGATGTCCTAGCCATACCAGTTGGACCCATGACCAGTTCGCGTACAAAGAAGCTTATGGGGGCCATCCAACAAGTCCTTACCGAGCTAAGGAACCAAGGCCGAGCTGACGACCCAACACCCGTGAACAAAGTCATGACCGTTCTCAGGTACTCTGGTCCGAACTGACATGGTTGGGGTGTTGTGTTAATACTCTTTTTCCTTACATTCGGTTTTGTCCCACTGGGTTTTCCGAATGGGGTTTTAATGAGGTTAATGCACGCCCATCTCACGACCATGGTTCGATTCGCGGCCAAGTATATCGGTCAAGGAAGCTTAAAGGTCTAGCGAGAGGACGCGAAGGATCATCCGGAAATCCAATCGTTATTCAACGCATCTAGTCTCGTTTAGTTTTCATTAATGTCTTTTAATTTCCGTTAAGACCTATGGTCTTCCTTTTAGCCTCTATATAAAGGCGACAATGTACTTGGATCTTTCATCACTTATCCTTTTAATAAAATTTCTTTTTGAGTTTTCTCTTTTGTTCTTTATGAACTTTGTCGATATTTTGGTGGTTAGCCATTGATCGATCTTCGGTTTATCAAGTAGTTTCACCCTGCTTGACGCAGCCTTCGAATCCCAAAGTGTGAGAGAGAGTTGTAGTCGTATTACGGGCTTAGGGAATTTCGGGACTTGTCTCACACCCTAACATCCGATATCGCAACCCCCTTGATCGTTTTGTCCATCCCCTCGTTTCCAACCTCTTCTTTGAATTTGGGCCTAAGGATTTTCGAGCCACAACTCACGCCTTAGCATTTCTTTCACCGAATCGGACTGGATCCAAGGATCTATCAACCTCCACCGAACCAAGTGTGTGACAATCCTAGGACGGTCTTCTATCACAGACACTTGTATCCCAATGGTTTAGGAATTTCAGTGGTATGGATATGTATCCTACTGTTCTAAGTTTGATTCCGCCTAACCACCTTTCCACGTTTAAATTAGCAAATTGTTGATGTGTACCCCGTTTGTTAGGCCGCTAATGATTAATATTGAGCTTAGAAAACTTTTGGATACATCAGTTTAAAAAAAAAAGGAGGATAGACAAACATAGAAACAAAAAGATGGATACGATGAACTATACGTGGATGACTGAGCTAAGGAACAGACTTGAGAAGATGGAAACGGTAAAGAGTTAGACAAACTTTTAGAATGGTTCAAATTCAATAATTAGATATCCATTTGGATCTCATGGATTTCATAGTCTGTTGACTCAAGTTCGTTTGGAGTTTATGGTTTCCGTTGAACCATTGAACCAGAGATGAATCCACTCTATAGCACTTCGATACATTCTTACTATGACTGACTAGATCAACCGATAGATCTATTAAAAAAGAAAAAAAATCGGATACCCTTAAACCTTTAAAAAGTTCATCTAAAGTAGGCCCAAAATGTTTATACCAAGTCATACCCATGCTCATCCCAAAGACTCCGACCAAGTCGCGAAAGTACGAACGTCTCTCTTTAATATCCGGCAAAATCTGTTATAGCCTCATGTTTACCGGGAAGCTCGAACCTTTTTATTATTCTTCGAGGTCCCTCGCTCATGGCCTCAATTGGTTTTACTTGGTTTGGTTTAATCAGCTCATTTTAGTTAATTTTGTTAATATTTAGTATTAGTTATTTAATATTTTAAATAAAGTTGGTTAGAATAATTTTTAAATAAATTTTGGTTAGTTTGGATAATTGAATCTAAAAATTATCCCATTTATTTATTTTATAATTTATTTTGCATTAACTTCGAATATTTCGTTTGGTTCGATTGGGTTCGAGAATTTTGTCCAACTCTATAATTGAATTCTTACTAATTCAATAACCTATAAAATGACTACCCTAAAATCGTAATAGGTGAAACTTGATCTTTCAATCTAACCAGCAAAAAAAAAGTTCGACCACCTTGTTCCACAACAGGTTTGTAAAGAACTTATTTTGGTATATTCTAATTGAAAAACATAATTTCTATGAACCACATTTTTATTACCAACAAAATACTTGGAAAACAAAAATTTACTAGTGTAGTTAAAGAAGTTCATGTGTATATCGAACCAGCTAGGAAAACAGTTTCAAAAACCAAACCTTAATTTACTTAACTTATGATACTTTTATATAAAAATTGATCCCGATTAATAATATCAATTTTATTTAAGAAAGGTCGATATATACCATTTATTCAAAAAGTCTGAAATACAAAATTCTAGGAAAATCACTGACCACATTTTGGTTTTCCAATTCTATTCAACGATCAATAGTTAAAAGAAAATAGTGTTTTTCTCTAAAATTGGCACACTTACAAATTTAACAGAGAACTCAAATGTAATGTTCCATCCATTACAAGTAAAACGTTGTTTAACACTATTTTTTCAAATAAATAACCATTTTGATTTTTATTGTATCAGAACATAATGTTAAGAGTCAATTTGTTTTTTTTTTCAGAACCAAACGAGTCAATTTGTTTTTCGAGGTGTATAATAGATTTTTTTGACATGTTTCTTAGTTTATGTGAAAAATATATAAACGAATCATATATTATGAAAAAAAAAAAACTTACTATGAAATAAAGAGACTGGAAATTGAAACAAAGTCAACGTAAACGTGTAAAATTAATAATCAGATGAACAATAATTACGTTACTGATCATTAATGACGATCTAAAACAGTACTACTGTACTAATTTATTTCTTGATTTGTCTCGAAGAAGTCTTGAAATGAAGGGGATATTAATTATTCCCATATCACATTAAAATGTAAATGAACAAGAATTTTTAATTTTATTTGGAAATAATTAAACAATAATAAATGTGAAAAGAAGAACCAAGAAGGAAAGTGGGAGGGTGGGTTCCGTTCATTGAACCCTCCATAGCAAAAGCAATAACTCAGCTTCGGGTTTTAGGTTCGGTTTTAGGGTCGGGAGAGTCGACTTTTGTGCGGATAAGAACGCTTCTCTTCGTTCTTGTATTTACACACGCATCTCTCTCTCCTCTGCTTCTGCTCTGCTCTGCCACTCTCTCTCCTCTCCCTCCCTCCCTTTCTCTCACTAAAACCCGGCGATCGAAGAGAATTAACAAGCTACTGTCAGAGAAATCAAACCCACAAATATAAGAATCATCATGGTAATCACAATAATATTCCACGAATAGAAGAGATATATATGTCAAAATTTGTTTATTTCTTCAAATGGGTTCTCTTCAGTTTGGTTATAAATGCTCTGTTTTTTTTTTTCCTTTTAGAGATCGATTCAAATTCCACCTAAGCTTCTTCTCTCTTAGCTTTGATCAGTCTTCTCTTACGAAATCATTATTTTCCCCCAAATGGGTTCTCTCAAATTTCGAATCTTTTTCCTCCGAATTGATTCTATATAGAATTAGACTCTGTTCCAATAAGAACAACTATCAGAACTTCAATTTTTTTCGTTTTTTCGATTCTAATCTTCTTGAGATTGTTCTTATTTCAGGGAGCTGAAGTTGAAAACAATAAGAGGTGGCCTCCATGGCTAAAACCTCTGCTTCGAGAGAAATTCTTCGTACAATGCAAATTACACTCAGATTCACACAAGAGTGAGTGTAACATGTACTGTTTAGACTGTACTAATGGCCCTCTCTGTTCTCTCTGCCTCTCTTTCCACAAGGATCATCACGCCATTCAGGTTCGTTTTATCATTTCACTTTTCTTTGAAAAGATCTGATTTCTTGTGGAAGATTCTTTCCAATTTCAGATTTACTTAAATTAAAAAGTTTATATCTTTTTTTTTTACTGAGAGAGAAAGTGCTTATGGTTAATTCCAGATTTTGTTAGTTTGGTTGGTGATTTTGTTAGTTTGGTTGGTAATCTACTTTTTGTTTTCATTGGTGATTCTGATTAAATTTACAGATAAGGAGATCATCGTATCACGATGTGATAAGAGTGTCTGAGATTCAGAAATTTCTGGACATAACAGGAGTTCAGACATATGTGATTAACAGTGCTAAGGTTGTGTTCTTGAACGAGAGACCTCAGCCTCGACCAGGCAAAGGTGTTGTCAATACCTGCGAAGTCTGTTATCGAAGCCTCGTCGATTCTTTCAGATTCTGCTCTCTCGGTTGCAAGGTAACAAAATAAAAAAAAAATTATTTTCTTGATAAAAATATGTCTGGTGAAAAAATTACAGTGAAAATAAACTGTCAAGGAGTTAATGTCTTTGATCTTAAATGCTTTAGAAGTTATTGGTGTGTTGTTGTTTGGTTAATAGAATTGAGAAAGTGTAAGAGTTTCTATGTTTGGTTGAGAAAATGCGGGAAAATCAAAGCTGTAACCTCTAGTATTTGGGGTCTAGAAAAGGCTGATAAATAACATAAATGTCATTTTTTGGGGTATGTAAATATATATTTACCTGTAGAGGAAAATTAACTCAAGAAATAGCTTTTTTGGGGGTCAATGTACTCTATTTTAGGTAGAAGAATATAATAAGTATAAACTTAGTTGAACGGGTAAGCTAACTACTATTCAATAATTTCCTTATTAATATTGATTTTGTATTTAGACCGTCTTTTATTCTTTTAATCCTTGTTTGATGGGAATTGAGAAAGGGACTTAAAATAAAGGGATTTTTCTTGTTGGGTGGGCGAGAAAATGTGGGGGCAATGATAGCAACTTCAAGAAATTGTGGAGCTAAAAAAATAATACTCCGTAGCATTTTGGGTTGACGAGAAAGTAGGGGAGAAAATTCCAAGTCAATTAATAGCTTCGATCTTAAGTAATTTAACCCATTTTAAAGGTCTTTTCGTTTTCATACTTTTATTTTTTGCATGGCTTTCAACATCTTCATCTTTTGTTGTTTATAAGAGACAAATGACTAAGATAACCCTAGCAAATATGTAATACAACTTACATTAATACATTATTGTCTTATATTGTTTTTTTTTTTACTAGATCTCTGGAATCTCCAAGAATTTCGTCAAGAAAAGAAAGGATTGGACAAACAATCTTTCAGATTCTGATGATTCGTATAGCAGTACTAGTATCGAGAGGCTCAAGAAGAACGATGACATGATCAATAATAGTTTCACGCCATCAACACCACCTTTATCGGCTGTGAATCGCCGAATTGCAAAACGAAGAAAGGGAATTCCGCACCGTGCTCCTTTTGGAGGACTAATCATAGAATACTAAGAAAATGGTAATGCATATAGTCTTATGCTAATAACAATCACTAGTAGTTTATGGGTGGTACATGTATGTATATATGTCTATAATGGTCTAAAGCAATGTAAAAAGAAAATCTTACCTCATAGTATCAAGTAGATATGAAGGAGTAAAGAGTGGGAAAGATAATAGAATGAAGCATGAAAGGAATACTTGTGCATGTATATTTTGGGCTCAAAGGGTACATATGTAAATGTAGAATAGTGTTGTGGGAAAAGACAATAGTAATAAGTATGTAAATGCAAATGCAAATGTGAATGAAATAAAGGCATATTACTTTCGATGTACTTGTTTCTTGTTTTTTTGTTCATAGTATCTCATTTATTAGTTTCTTAAAACATGATATCAACTTGTATCTTTCTGAAAAGTATATGCATTGCTAAATGATACATTGCAAGAGACCCGAGAATATGGAGAAAAAGAAGATTTCACTTGATCCTCTATACGTTTTTGACTATAGAGTCGTCTTCCTGCTTTCAAAAGTCGCCATTATTAAAATATCTGATTATTTGACATTTGGAAGGACAATACAGTACACAAAACCAATATTTGTACATGCCATCTAAAAATTTTACATTGAACATTGACTTTAGATTTTCTAATTTTAAGTAGAATTAATACATGTATATTTATAGATTAAGTATGAAACTTGCTTAGAGTTAAGTGTTTTCTTTGTTGAAGTGCTAATCCTTTTTTAAGTATAGTAATTTTTTCTTTTCATAAATTTTGAAGTTTGGATGACTTGTTTTTAGTTTCCCTTGAAAATTATTATGAAGTTGGATGACTTGTTTTTAGTATCCCTTGAAAATTATTTTCAAGTCAACTTCCTATTAAAACATGATTTTTATTTTATTATTTCATAAAAAAAAGATCCCGAACGGGGACGGCAAGCCTAAAGCAATCACAAAGATCTTTTGGAGGATGTTCATAATTCTCTTAAAACTAATCTCGATGCATGTATCAAGCTAGATATCATATATCATATGGTTTTGTGTATATATATATCTTTTGTTAAATAAATATCCTTCTTAATAAAAATCAAGCAGTCTTAAGAAAGGCTGTAAATAAAAGTCTCGAGTTTCAAGATTCTAGATTTCTAGCATGAGTGTTGAGTTTTGCACGTGCGGTAACTTTTGGGCCACGTGTTTTTAAATCATTGGCAGACGAGAATGGCTCGAGAGGGGCAAAACCATGATGCGTTTTATGGGGGAATAAAGAAAGAGAAAGGACAGAGTCCAACGGCATAGCGAATGGGCCTTTCTAAGCTTTATATGGCCGAAGTGGGGCCCATTATCGTCATCTTTCTATTTGCCCCATCCGATTGCCCAAACGGCATAATATACATTGCCGATGATGTAATCTCGGCCGTTGGAATCTCAAGAACTTGTTAGAAACGTGACACAATATTTTAAAAATCCAACCCTATTTATTGTTTTAGTACTAAATAATAAACGAAGGAACAATTCTGGAATAAGCATGTGTCATGAATCATGATGTTGCCAAACCCACTCACACCACGTAGATTGTTTCGTCCGATTGTCCAACAATAATTAAATGTATTAAGAAAATATAAAAAAATGTGATAGTATAGTTTAATTGATTCTTAGTGATAATCTTAAGCCAAGTGGTACGTGACATTTGATTTTTTAAGTCTACAAAAAAAAAAAAAAAACAGTATGTTATGATTTGAGAAACTGGTGACCAACATTAACCTACCTTTTTTTATACACTCGGTTTAGTATTAAATACTACAAATCCACATGACAGTGCTCTAATCTTATCTAATTTATCAAAAGATGTGTTTAAGTGCTGTAAAAAAAGAAGGGATTATGGACCATGAAACTTAGACCATGAACATTGTAGAGATCCATTAGGGGTTTTAAGTAGTTTTTTAATAATAAAATTGGGTTTGAGATTCGTATAAGTAACTTATGTATTTTGGTTGAACATTGTAGAGATCTTTTGGAGTTGTTTAAAAAAAAAATTATGTCAGGGAAAATTAGAAAGGAAGAAAAAAAATTATTCCCCAAATTGAATAGTCAATCACAATCTTCCACCTGTCTTTGAAAACCGTCTTTTATGGTTTTAATATAATAGATGTCTCCAGCAAAATCAGAGATCTATTTGTATTAAAAAATGTTTTTTAATCACAAGAGACGCATGAACATACCGCGATGTTCATGCTCTTATAACATTTGATCAGAAAAACTGGTCATACAAACCTGTTACTACTGAAGATAAATTTGAGTTTGGATAAATAAAAAAATTTATGTCATACTAAAGAATATAGATAATGCATGCAAAACTTTCAAGAAAACTAGCTAGATATATAAAACTCAACTAATTCGGAGGCGAACATGATGATCCTTTATTCTGTTCTAATATTCTATCAAAGAAATCTCCTACAAAAACATGAGATTCTCAACCTGATCAGAGGAGACAAGGTATACATCTCCTGCATCATAAAACTCATCAGGGATATCTTGTATGTGAACTCTTCTCACTATAAGTTTCTTCAGATCACAATAGGCAACACTAAGTGATTTTAGTAGATAACCTGAAAAAAAAAAGCTCACCAGTCTTAGTGTCAGTGGATCGAAACCTTTGAAACCTATCAACAGACCGATGAATTAAAGTAGGCAAAACAAAAGTCTTCATCGACCATTCCTCTTTAGCAGCATCTTCTAGAACACACAAAGCGATATTATATGCGTAGTACTTTTCAAAGACGATGAAAGCTGGCTTTCCCTCGTAGCTTATCAGCTTTGAAAAATTGCGAAAGTTGCTAGGTTCATTGACAAGATCATCAAGTTTTACGGCTTTGATAAGATCGATTTTTTCGGATCTTACATCAAACCTCATGATTGCTGAATTCTCTAGCTCCTCGCCGGTCAAAGCTTGATAATACAAAACACCATTGATGCACACGTTTTGACTTATAGGAGAGTGAGGTGGAATATTGTCTTGAATCATCTTCCAAGAATTCTCACTTCCCAGCGTCAAAACCCATATCTCCATAGCTAAACCTCGTGTGTTGCCAGACTCAGGAGTTTCTATCATGACGCACAACACTTTATAATCACTGTCGATGGGATCATAGCCTAAATATAATTGAGTTATGTAGGTCTCTGAGTATGAATCGAGATCTGGCAAGGTAATGGATCGTCTAGTGCACAGGTTATATACCCCGGGTGTAGAATGAGATCCATAGCATATCAAACCGTGAACTGAAGGAGCAGAAAATATGGCTGGGCAAGTCACAAGGTAACTTGCTAAAGAAGCAAGAGAAGGTGATGCTTCATGTGTAGTTAAACCATAATGTTTGGACTTGAATACGAAGACGAGACCTCTAGGTCTATTCAAGGACTCATTCAAGTGTTGTTTCATGAACTTTCGACTACGGATGATTGAAGCCCAGAGCTTAGATACGGAGAGGAATCTCATTAGGGTTTTAACCGGCGATCGTTTGAGTATTTCTATAATGAGATCAAGCGGAAGCGAGTATGATGAGAAGCTTACGCTTCCCTTTTTACCTTTCTTCTTCTTCTTCTTCTTCTTCTTCCTCTTTCTCTGTGCTTTCATGGCGGAGAAGACTAAAACACGATACCAACTCGATCTCATTCCACTTAGCGTTGTTTGTTAATAGAGTGATTTTAGAGTTTTGCGATTTAGGGTTTATCTAAGGGTTTAAGTCATTTATACGGTGGGCTCAATTTTAGATTAAGATGCAAAATTTAGGCCCATATTTTTTGACATTACTACAAGAGAGAAAACACGTTCGGATCTGTCGATCATGCCACGTGTATTCCGACCGCTATGACGTGTCACTGATCGTTCCTCTGTTTTAAAAATAGTTGCTTTCGAAGGCAAATACTCAAACATCGGGAATTTGGTCGGAGATGTCGTCGGCGCAAATGGACCCACGAGACAAGATGAGATCACGCGATTTGAGTAAAGTCGCGAGAGGCGAGCAAGCGCCAAGACCAGCCCACGCTCCCGGCACGGTGTCGCCGCCACCGGAGAACGAGGCGACATTTCGAGCTAAGAGAGGAGAAGACGGCGGAGGAGAGACTGGTTTGTCGACGGATGAACAATTTCCGGTGAATAGTGAAACGCGACATTGCTTCAATCGGTACATGCAATACCATAAGTAAGTTCTTTTTTTTTAAAAAAAAATTACCACTAAAGTAAAATGAGATTAAGGTTGCATGTGATTAGTGTTTTAAAATATTTTGATTTTAATTAATACGTAGCTGTCTTGAGGATAAGGGAAGAGATGCGAATGATTGTAACCACTTGAGAGAGTATGTACGTTCGATGTGCCCCGAGAAATTGGTGAGCAAATATTTAATATGTATTGTTCCTTTATAAAAAATAATTAAGATGGAATATGAATTATTGAACTCTGATTAGAAATCTAATTTTAGTTGATCTTTTGTTGTTTTTGTTGTTTTTTCATCTTATCACATGAAAGGTTGAAAAATGGGAGGAACAGAGAAAGTTCGGGACATTGCCATCATCAGTTTGAAGATAGATTATCAGTTATCACATAGTCTCTCTGATATATATGAAGAAGAGATGTTTAATTAGTTTGGTCGTTGTGTGGACTGTCGACATTACTAAAACCAAAATGATATAAATCAAATAGTTAATTGTAAATAAATTAGCCAAAGAATCACGTAAAAGTTTCTTCTAGTACCAGAAATATGCATTTTTTAGGTAAAGAAAATATATCTTTAATTAAAAAGCAAATACACTTCTCGAATCATTCGCTTTAGATTTCGATCACAAGAAACTCACATTTTCGTGTGTGCATACACTCCAACATTCCTTTCTCCAGATCCAAGATGTTAAAAATGTAAGTGCAATTATATTTGTTTTCTACCAGTTTACTTCTACATTGAAACTCTGATCTAAAACCAACATTTGGTATCAGAGCTTTTAGATAAACGCTTTGATACTAAATGATGGGTCTAGATCAAAGCTTCGAAGTAGAAGTCAATTGGCAGAATGGTTTACTGTTTTTTTTTTTAATCAGTTTTAACATCTTTATATACACAACACAATTGCAAGTAGATCCACAAAAAGATCCTACAAAAAAGGAATTTAAAGATATTTGGCATGACAATCGCGAACTAGATCCTCAAAAATTCCTAAAAAAAGGAATTGAAAGATATTTGGCATAACAATTGCAACTAGATCCACACAAAAAATCCTACGAAAAGGGAAATCAAAGATATTTGGCATAACAATTGCAACTAGATCCACAAAAAAATCTTACGAAAAAGGGAATTCAAAGATATTTGGCATATCTAGTCCTGCGTGCTTGATAAGGACCGATTCTTAATTGTTAAAACTGGAAAATTATAAAACTTGGATAAGTAATATATCTAAGATTTTGGTTTCTACGATCGAACCAGCCGGTTCTCCTTCTGTACCGGCAGCGCGCGGCTTGGCAATAAAGGGCAAAAGTGCTGTTGGTCAAGTTGTAAAAGAGTATTACACACTAGGTGTGTACTGTTGTCTAGCATTACACACTTCTGTGTGATAAGGAAAATCAAATCCAAGGATCAATACTAAGATGATGAAAGCAAATGGTCTACTCTTCAATCATTTTAACGAATTAATTGTTAGATACTACTATAAACGTAAAAAAGAATCTACAATCGATATTTGGTGTTTGCTTTTACAATCAACAAATATTTTTCTTTTTTTATTCTAAAATGCTCATGGTTATAAATTTCTTTGAAAAGTATATACAAATGTAAATGCCAAACAAAGAATCGAGAGATGTTAAATTTAAATGAATCGAACTGATTCCAACCAAATCAAACTTAAAAAACTTGATTCAAAACGATCCAAAGATTAATAAACAATAGATAATGTAAGTGAAAGTTGGTGTTAACTTCTCCTACAAGGAAACCACAAGGAAATTCACTGGATACTAAACAAGCGTCTCATCGGGGGTGGATGAATTATCTATGAAAAAAATCTGCTAAAGTCTCACAGGTCAGCAAGATGAGACGTTTCTTTGGCAGAAAACAGTATTCATCTCGGTGACTATGAGAACAGAGTCCTTAAGCTTGGGTTTTACTACTCACAGTCACATTGATGCTATGTTCTTTCTTTTTCCTACTTGTTGTAGCTCGCAAGCTTCCATACCTCTTTGCAAAGATACTTGATCCAAGGTTCTGCTGGCGATCCACATGACTAGTGAGTGAGTTTCCCTCAGGTCTTTATAGAATACTCGAATATGTTGTTCATAGCGGTTTAATCTTCTTTTCACTTAAAACGTTTGAGCTGAAACAAGAACTGTTTCTTGGCCAACTATTTTTGCGCAGGTGTGAACCATTCCCTAGTTATCCGCCAACATATGACTAGCACTTTGCTTCACACACATCTTGGCTCAGAACGCTGAGGCCTAGTGGACTTGTTCTTGGAGATAGACCGGATTCTCCACCCTGAGGTCGTTCTCTACATAACATTCCAACCATTTTTCATAAGATCCCTAATTAGGAATAAAGAGACCAGAGAAACTGAACCTTGTCTGGGTTGTTCTAATGGATATATAATATAAGCTTGGAGTGATAGAGATGGCTCGCGCTCTTGCTGCTCGTGTTCGTTTGGAAACATGGGTCATCGACCCTGAGTAGTGACCAACGGCTTCTCGTTTGTCAACAAAATTTCCTGAAAATATAACTTATCCAAAAGAAAACTGTCAAAATCTTGCTTTGTTTCGCCGAGGAAGAAAGGAAAGAAACACTAGCTATGGTTTCTTTTATCCCGGTGACTTGTTGAAAAAGTTAACGTTGATTTCGTGAATGTGTCGTTATAAAAAAGATAAGACTGTTTTTGTTTTTTTTTTTCTAATGATCGGATTATACGAACAGGAAAATGAGAAAGTGGGCAAAAAATATGGAGATGCGGGGGATCGAACCCCGTGCCTCTCGCATGCAAAGCGAGCGCTCTACCATTTGAGCTACATCCCCAATTGTTAATGTTTGACACAAAATAAATAATAATTTTTAATAAACTCTAGTTATGCTTGACCACGTAAATAAATAAGTATCGAATCAAACCGTTTAAAAATGTTTTAAGAATATGACACGAAAAATGTACAAATAAATAAATAATAGTAAGATGATTAAACCAAACCGTTCAGCTTGTATTTCGTCATTTTAGCTAATTGACAATACTGTAAACGTAAACGAGAATCTTCCAAAAACAAAAAAAAAGAGAATCTTCCAATTATGTTTGGAGTTTGCTTTCACAATCTCTCAACATATAATGTTTTGTTTTAAAGTGCTCAAGGATATGAATTTATTAGAAAAAAATATGTACAAACCAAGAAATCTAAATGATGAATTGAACCGATTCAAACCAAGACGAGCTAAGAGAAACGAGATTTAAAAACGATTTTATGAATCATTTGGTTCGGCTTAATTGGGTTTGAGATTTTGTCGTGGCTTAATTGAATCCGATTTATAGAAGAAAAAACGTATTGGGCTTTTACTCAGGCCCATTTAAGTAACTCACGTGGCAATTTAATAACCGGCGCCCTAGACCCGCCGTGAAATTGAGCGTCGAGGAGAGAGAGAGAGAGCTTCTCCAAATCAGAGCGACAAAAAAAAAACACTCTTTCGATTCCAAAATTTGTTACTCGACGATTTTTTTTGGTCGTTAGCTTTCTTTCTCTATCGTGAATAAACGGTTTTCAATTTCGACCGTTAAGTACCGTTTTATATATATCTCCGGTGAAGAAAGATGTCTGCTTCGTCACCGTCTCTTAGTAACAATGGCCTCTCCGCCGCCGTCACGCCTCCCAAAACTCTCCGTGGCCTCAACAAACCCAAGTGTATCCAATGCGGCAACGTCGCTCGCTCCAGGCATCTCTCTCTCTCTCTCTCTCTTGCTTTTACGCATTGTCTCGTCGCAAGATTTGATCTCTTACATCGATTTCGGTGGCTTAGTTTGTAAATTTAAGGCTGATTTCGTTGGTTTTTAATCTGATAGGAATCGAATTTCTCCAGTATACTGTTTAATTTAGGGTTTATTAAGTTTCAGGGTTTGTGTTCTTCTCTCCATGATTTGGGGATGAATCAGTTTTCTTTTGAGGAAGAGTTTGAACACGTTATACTCTGCTCTTACGTGATTGATCAGCTTGTTTAAAGTTTTGAGCTTTTAGTTTTCGACTTTCTAAGTTCTGTTTTTTCTGAGATAATTTGGACTGAGATTGGTTTATTGATCTTGGATGTGATCAATGGCAGGTGCCCATTTCAATCTTGTAAAGGTTGCTGTTCAAGAGCAGAAAACCCCTGCCCGATTCACGGTATGCGTTTCCCTCAAATCTAAGATGATAATCATCAGTTAAATAAATCAGATTTAGAGTTTAGTGCTCATAACTTTTACAAGTATCAATCTTTAGCATGAAAAAAAATTAATGGTTTATCACTGAATAGTCGAACCAATAGAGAACCTGGAACTAGAAAAGAGTAAATTTATAAGACTGATTCTTTGAAAGTGTGCTGAGGTCAAAGAGATTTTATCATGGACTGTTTGTTATTTTGGCTTACGTGTTCTTGTCACTGCAGTTCTTAAAGCAGCTGCAACGTCTGCTGAGAAGACGCAGGCGCCAAGTACTCCATCATCAGATCAGAAAGCATCAGAGGGCACTCCCGGGTACATATTATACAAACCATTTTTCTTAGATTCTGCTTTGGTTGTGCTTTTGCAAGCAAGTGAATATCAGATGATGAACCAGTTTGCTTACTTTGTTAGGGAGTAGTTGATATCGAGATGCTATGTGTGTCTGTTCTTGAGGAACTAAAAGATGGTTTCTTTATTTTGATATTATATCTTCTATTGGAAACTGCTTTCAGGAGTACAACTAGAGTTTCATCAATCCGCCAACTTTCTAGCAACTTTGCTCAGTTTAATAACCTGAATGCTGCTTCTCGCCAGAGAAAACCTTTGACGATAAAGGTACTAACGAAGTCGTCACGTCTTGAAGAATTCTCCTACTTATTGTTTTCCTCTGATCTGTTGTTGTTCTGTCTATAGGATGCTCAAGCGTTAAACGAGTGGCGGTTTACAAAGCTAAAAGAGTACAGAGACAGAAACATTGAAGTGGAAAATGAAGCTTTTGATCGGTACATGAGTAATGTGAATTTACTCGAAGAAGCCTTTTCATTGACATCTGTTCCTGAAGAGAGTCCCGGAGCAGCAGCTTCTGAGCGAAGCAACGAGGAAAGAACTGTTTCGGAGCTTAAACTGAGGCTGAGATCAAACTCCGCACGAACAGAGAGCATCAAGAAGCGGATAGCAGAGACTGTCAAAGCCGGTTTGGTGAAGGTTCAGAAACCGGTTTTAAGTGGTAAATCAGATGATCAAGATGAAATTGAAAGACGGATCAAAAGAAGCAAATGGGAAGAGAAAACATCAGCTTTGAATGAAGTAATCGACAAAGTGAACAAAGCAAGAACCGAAGAGGATCTCAAATTTTGCTTTGAAATGAAATCAAAGCTCTGTGGTCAAGTTTCTTCCAATGCAGCATCCGGGAAGAACATGGTTTCGGGTCTTGTTCGAAAAGTTGAGATCAGTGAAGAAGCACTTCAGAAAATTGGCGAGCATCTCAAATCTTTTGACAAAGTTGAAACTTTGTGAAGTCAAGAACATACCTTAAGCATATATTAGATATTGGAACTAAACAATGGAGGTAGTTGTTGATTGTATGTTCGTTGGATTTTTATTGATCTTTTGTATTTTGTATTTTAGTTAAAACCCATAAATGAAGATGATTTTGTAGTGTTTTTTTTTTCCTGTTGATGTTGGAGAAACTAATGATTTAATTGGACATTCTAGAAAGCCTGTTTTATATGCAAGTCTTGTTTGCTGATGCTTTTCTTAGCCTGTTAAGCAAACATGTTTGTATTGAGAGGCTTCAATGCTGCTAATGCTTTTTTTTTTCTTTCTCTCCACCTTCGTCTCTGCCTCGCATTTGTAAAGTTGGGAAAGTTATAACTATTTCATACTTTTTCTTTTAAACTATTTCATACCAGAATATGTTAAATAGAAGTAAGATTAATCGAAATGATTCTTTATAGATATCAAAACCACTGACTTTAGCTGAAAATTGGTTTAGTTTGGATAACCGGTCGTCTAATTGAACTGGCCCTACTTGGAAAAAATCCCATCCACACCATATTCCATAATGAGATATCTTTGAAAATGACTAAAACCAAACTTTTAGATTCTCATTTTGTTTTGCAGCCTCAATTCCACTATCAACCAAAACAGATCAAAAAGCTTTTGGGAACTAAAATAAACTTTCATTGTTTTGCTAGTTTTAACCATATCTTAAATACACATATGCATTTTTGTTCTATACATACACATGCATATAATAAATACTATATGTATGTTGATGATATCATTCATTCTGCAAACTAACTAGACACATGTTGACTGGGCTATAGGTTGGGACTTGAGACGAAACAATTCAAATTTGCTCATTTGAAGTTACTATTATAACTTCTTTTAATTTTAAGTTAACATTCAAATAATTGTATCATTGTTATTGGTCATATATAATGTACTTTTTTAATTATATGATATTACGTAAAAGCGTATCCCTTTTACTCTCTAATTTGTAACCTATTCAAGCTCTTGAACTATATTTTAGCAAAGTGACGAGGAGATGACTTAGCAATTGTATTTAGTTCGATTTTTGTATTATCTGGATGATTTTTCTTGTTGTTGAAATAAGAAAATTAAATATGATATTCACCTTAGTCTGAAGACAGAAATTATTGTTTCTTTCATCTTTATATGATTCATTACTCATGTATTTTCATCCCTTCATTTAACGGATTGCTTATGATGTTGTCCATTGAAAATAAAGGGAGATGAAAGATATCGGTGACCACTTATCCAAGAATGATTACTGTAACTAGCCAGACTATCAACCAAAAAAAAAAAAAATTCAATTTAGGTAAACTGAATGTATAAATATTGAAAAGGTGGGAAGAAGTTGATGTCTATCTGATTATGTGCTAAGGAGATAAAAAGATGTCAAACAAGTTTCACACATCTTGTTGCTAAAGAGATTACAGGCTTGTTGACACATTTAAAATAAATATCGTTACATCACACTTGTAAGATTAATAAACGATCATAAAAAATCACAAAAAATGCCACATAATATGAGAACTCTTTATGAGAACTCTTTAAATCATAGAAAAAAATTAATCTTAAAATTAATGGCTTTACAAATAATAGTATAGATATATTTTTAACAAATGCAATTTATCAAATGTATTTATATGTTATTTTTTTTTGGTGAATAAATGTATTTATATGTTATGGTTTGTAGTAAGAAATTACAAAATCTTTTACAAATTTGATTTAATTTTTAAAAATTAGTTCGGGTCGGATACGAACTCGGTTACCGTATAAGTAGTAGAAATTTCGATTTCCGTTTTTTTTTTTGTTTTTTTTTTCCTTGGAATATGCGAGAGTAATGGCGTGGTTGAAGACACGAGAGAGAATCCTGAAGAAAAGCCAAAGCATAAGAACAAGAGATGTTAAAAGAACAAACCATACGCAAAAAGAAAGACTCTTTCTTCTCCGTTCTCTCTCTCACTCTATATATATCTAAAGAGAGAGAGAGAGAGAGTGTGTGTGTGAAAGGTGGAGAAAAAAACAAAGACAGAGTTCAAATACGTTAAGATGATGATGATGGAGCTTTTGGATCATTAACCATTATTTTTGTTTTCATCTCTTAATAATTTGTTAGTTTTAAACCTTAAACGGCAAATGGCTGTTCAAGCTCAACACCATTCCTCCAATCTCATCTTCCTTAATCACAGGTCGGTCCATTTTCTCTGTAAATTTTTTCACATTTTTCTTTTTGTTTTTTCACTTTTATTGATTACGGTTTTTTGTGGGCAGAAACGGTAAAGAAGAGGAACGAGATTTCTCGTTGCAATCACAGGCTGGAGAATTTCTTGATCAAACCAATATGTTGTTCAACAATGGTGGTTCGTAAAGTTCCATTATTTTCCATCAAAACTTCAAAATCTATGATTTTTCTCTTGAGAACGTGTGTGTGTGTGTGTGTTCGATAGGTGGTTCTAATTCGAGCAAAAGAGGAAGAACAACGAGCAATCAGCAGTTTCCCCAAGTTATAGACTTATCTCTATTACACAACCAACATCATCATCCGCCGTCGAATATGGTCTACACAGGACTCCGATTGTATTCCGGCGAAGAACAGACACAAAAGATTAGTACTCAGTTTCAGCAGAATAGTCAATACCGGAATCTTGTCTCCGATCCGTCTGAAGATGTTCTCGCTGCACATATCAATAGGCAAAGCGAAGAACTCGAAGAATTTCTTCATGCCCAGGTTTAGATTTAACCTGACATGAATTGGGTTTTCCGAAAAGTTTCGATTTTGTTCTCGCTGGAATGTAAAAACTTAAACTTTTTTGTTTTTTTTTTGGAGTAGGCGGAGGAGCTACGGCGTACGTTAGCGGAGAAGAGGAAGATGCACTATAAAGCGCTTATTTCTGCCGTGGAGGAGCCGTTGGTTCGTAAGCTGAGGGAGAAAGAGGCAGAGATACAGAGAGCCACGCGCCGTCACAATGAGCTGGAGGCGCGTGAGGCGCAGCTTAAAGCCGAGGCTCAGGCTTGGCAAGCGAGAGCCATGGCGCAGGAAACCGCCGCCGCGTCGCTTCAGGCTCAGCTTCATCAGGCCGTTAACGTACACGGCGGTGGCGGTGTGTCGGCGCAAGATAGTAGAGCGGCGGAGGAAGAGCTATTGTGCGCAGGTGGAGTCAGCGGATTGGGTGATGCCGAATCGGCCTACGTGGATCCGGAAAGGGTGACGCGGCCGAGATGCAAAGGTTGCCGGAAAAGGGAAGCGACGGTGGTGTTGTTGCCGTGTCGGCATCTGAGCATCTGCCCGGAATGTGACCGGTCAGCTCTAGCCTGCCCGCTATGTCTCACGTTGCGGAACTCGAGTGTTGAAGCGATCCTTTGCTAAATGGGCCAAAATTTAAGCCCATTAGTTTGTCAATTGTACATAAAACATTTTAAGAATATGAATTAAACAAAAAAAATTGGTAAATACTGTACACACAAAAACTTTTAGTATGATACCAGACTGTATTCTTCCTTAATCTTGATTTTCAGTTTTGGAAACGTCGATTCCGATTATGGTTACAATAACTTTGGATTATGATTTTTGAAAGCATAATAGAAAGTAAAATAATTTGAAAATATATAGAGATATTATGCTATTAGGATATACCGGTTATTGAGCTATACCGGTTGTACCGGAATCTCTTATATTCATATAAATACACATCTTGTAACAACATCTTCTACAGTAATGAATAACAGAATCTTCTTTCTTCATCGTCTTCTTCCTCTCGATTCTCTTTAACTAACATGGTATCAGAGCTCTTTGAGTCGCGAAACTCAATAGCTCCAGCTCGTTTTTTCTTCTTTCGCACTTTTTTTGACCTCGATTAATCGTTGATTCTCACGTTTAATCTTCTTGTTCGATTTCATAGATCGATTTTTGATCATTCCGTCAAGAATCAGTAATATCTCGAAATCAAAGCTTCATATCTTCTACAATGGTGATTGTTCGCAAATCAGCACGTCGACAGACTAGAGGAACAACATCGATTCGTCGATCTTCTATTCCTGAAGATTCTCCTCCATCTTCTCCAGTTTCACCGCTTGAATCGCCAGATAGTATACATTCCCCATTCTATTTGACGAACGGTGACAATTCTGGTATCTCTCTCATCTCCGAAGTTCTTGATGGTACGAATTACGATAATTGGAGTATAGCAATGTCCATTGCTTTAGATGCTAAGAACAAAATGGCGTTTATCGATGGATCTGTTGCTCGACCTAGTGAATCTCATCAGAACTTTAGGATATGGTCTAGATGCAATTCGATGGTGAAATCTTGGTTGTTGAATTTGGTTTCGAAGCAGATCTACAAAAGCATTCTTCGTTTCAATGATGCATCGGAGATATGGAAAGATCTACATACTCGATTTCACATCACCAATTTACCTCGTTCATACCAGTTGTCTCAACAAATTTGGTCATTAGGTCAGGGCTCGATGGATTTGGCCACCTACTATACCACTCTGAAAACTCTCTGGGATGAACTGGATGGTACTAATTGCATCAAGACTTGTCACAACTGTAATTGTTGCAAAGCTATGGAAACAAAAGCTGGACATGAAAAAGTCATTAAGTTTTTGGCCGGCCTGAATGATTCATACGCCACCATTAGAAGCCAAATCATAATGAAGAAGCATGTTCCAGACTTATCAGAGGTATACAACCTTCTCGATCAAGACCATAGTCAACGCAACATAAGTCCGGTTCAGAATGCCACAGCCTTTGCTGTTTCTGCATCTGATCCAACTCAAGGGAGTATCAATGCTGCTCAATCATCATACAACCCAAAACAGAATCGACCAGTATGCTCTCATTGCGGCTACAATGGTCATACTGTCGACAAATGCTACAAAATCCATGGATATCCTCCAGGATTCAAGCATAAAAACAAGTCCGTTGAGAAGAACAATGGATCATCTAAACCTGTTGTTGCTCAACTTTCGCTTGCAGATACATCCTCCACAGCTCAGACGACTCCAGATGTAGTGAATACTCTTTCTAAGGATCAGATACAAGAGGTTATCGCATATTTCAATGCACAGCTCAAACCATCTGTTAACTCGGTTGAAGCTGCCTCAACATCTCTTCCTTCTGGTTCAATTACTGCACTTCCTGGTATGGCTTTTTCTTCTACAACTCTATGTTTTGTTGGAATCTTAAGAGCTACCAGTAATGCATTATCATCCGAATGATGGATTATAGACAGTGGTGCCACACACCATGTCACACATGATCGAAGATTATTCACTCATCTCTCAGATTCATTGAACAGATCAGTAACTTTACCTACTGGTTTGGGAGTCAATATAGCTGGTATTGGTACTGTTCGGTTACATGATCAACTTGTTCTGAACAATGTTCTGTTTATTCCAAATTTTCGTATGAATCTACTCAGCATCAGTCAATTGACCAAAGACTTAGGCTATCGTGTGATATTTGATCAAGATGCTTGTGTGATACAGGATCCTACCAGGGGATCGATGATTGGACAGGGTGAAGCCATTTCAAACCTATACGTGTTGGATTCATCATCTTTTCAAGCTTTTGCTTTGGGACCTTCTCCTTTTATCTCGAATATAATAGTTGATTCAAGCCTCTGGCACAGTAGACTAGGTCATCCGTCTATTGAAAAGACTGAGACACTTGCTCATGTACTTGGAATTAAAGAAAGAAATAAAGGCCATTTTCATTGTGCTATTTGTCCTCTTGCAAAACAAAAGCACTTGCCTTTTAATTCCAAGAACAATATCTGTGCTAATGCTTTTGATCTTCTTCACATTGATGTTTGGGGTCCATTTTCTGTGGTAACTGTTGAAGGTTACAGATATTTCTTGACAATTGTGGATGATCACACAAGAGTCACATGGATCTACTTATTGCGCACAAAGGATGAAGTCTTAACAGTGTTTCCAGATTATTTGAAGATGATAGAAACACAGTATAAAGCAGTTGTTAAAGGCGTAAGAGCTGATAATGCACCGGAACTAAAGTTTGTAGACTTATTCAAGTCCAAAGGTATCGTTGCTTATCATTCATGCCCTGAAACGCCAGAACAGAACTCGGTTGTGGAGAGGAAACACCAGCACATCTTGAATGTGGCACGATCCTTGATGTTCCAATCTCAAATTCCTCTTGAATATTGGGGTGACAGTGTTTTAACAGCAGTCTTTCTTATAAACAGATTGCCCACACCGTTGCTACAAAACAAGAGTCCTTATGAAGTTTTGACTTCTAAACAGCCAGAGTATCATGGTCTTCGAGTATTTGGTTGCCTGGCTTATTGCTCCACCTCTTCAAAGGGTCGACACAAATTTCAACCTCGCTCACGACCTTGTATATTTCTTAGCTACCCTGCAGGTTAAAAGGGATACAAGTTACTGGATATGGACACAAACAAAGTTCATATATCCAGGAATGTGAGATTTCATGAAGAGATATTCCCTTGCATCACAGGTCAGGATAATATCTCTCCTGATATCTTTGATTCTTATATAGGCTCGCTAGGTTCTTGGAACTCTAGGGTAGCTAGTGGAATTCCTGCAGTTGAGAATGAAGAACCTCCTGCAGTTGTGAATGATGACACCCCTAGTAGTTCAGTTCCTGATGTCTGTCATAATAAAGATCAATCTCTTCCCAAACTCCATTCAAAATCTCCAGCTTACTTACAGGATTATTACTGTAATGTAACTGAGACAGATATCCCATATCCCATCGCATGTTTTATGTCATATGATCAACTCTCTGAAGGATACAAAGACTATATCTGCTCTTTGAATCTTCATCCTGAACCAAGAACTTTCACTCAAGCTAAGAATTTTGATGAGTGGATAAACGCTATGAATGAAGAACTTATTGCTTTGGAGAGTACTCATACATGGGACATCGTGTCATTACCACCAGATAAACATGCTATAGGGTGTCGATGGGTTTATAAACTCAAATTGAATGCTGATAGAAGCTTAGAATGATACAAAGCTCGTTTGGTCGCCAAAGGGTATACACAACAAGAAGGTATAGATTTTGTTGATACCTTCTCCCCTGTGGCTAAAATGACAACAGTTAAGACCTTACTCGCTGTATCCGCTGCAAAGAAATGGAGTCTTACACAACTTGACATCTCCAACGCCTTTCTCAATGGTGATCTCACGGAAGAAATCTATATGACTTTACCTCCGGGATATACACCAAAGAAGGGGGAATCACTTCCATCAAATGCAGTTTGCAAGCTTCGGAAGTCTCTATATGGTTTAACAAGCATCTCGACAATGGTTTTTGAAATTCAGTTCAACACTTCTTGGCCTTGGTTTTCGAAAGTCTCAGGCTGATCACACCTTATTCGTTCGAAATGTTGCTGGCAAATATGTTGCAGTCTTAGTATATGTTGATGATATCATCATTGCCAGTAATGATGATGATGAGGTGACTAAACTAAAGACTGATCTGAAATCTGCTTTTAAGCTTCGTGATCTTGGTCCCCTGAAATATTTCCTTGGATTGGAAATAGCTCGTTCCAGCAAAGGCATCTCTGTGTGTCAACGAAAGTATATCTTGGAGCTTATTGACAATGCAGGACTTTTGGCTTGCAAACCATCTAATGTTCCGATGGATCCAAATGTCAAACTTTGCCAGGATTCTTCAGAACCTGTTCTTGATGACGTTCATGCTTATCGGAGACTTGTTGGTCAGCTTATGTATCTCACTATCACAAGACCGGATATTACATATGCTGTCAACAGATTATGTCAATTCGCTTCTTCACCAAAGAACTCACATCTTCAAACTGCTTACAGAGTCTTACGGTATTTGAAAGGCACGATTGGTCTTGGTTTGTTTTACTCAGTGAATTCTGATCTTATACTCAAGGGTTTCACTGACGCAGACTGGGCATCGTGCACTGATACTAGACGTTCAACATCTGGTTTCTGTATGTTTCTTGGCTCCTCTTTGATATCTTGGAAGTCAAAGAAACAGTCGACTGTGTCCCATTCATCAGCAGAGTCTGAATATCGGGCTATGGAATTTGCAGTTCGAGAAATAGAATGGCTGGTTCATCTTCTAAATGAATTCGATGCTCCTCAAGATCAGTCTGTGGCATTCTATTGTGATTCAACAGCAGCAATGCACATAGCATCCAATTCTGTGTTCCATGAAAGGACCAAACACATAGAATTGGACTGTCATATGGTTCGCGATCGAGTGGAGAGTTGGTTGGTTAAACTTTTACATGTGAAGACAGGAAATCAGTTAGCTGATGCATTCACCAAGCCTTTGTTCTCTACTCAATTTCATGCTCTCATTGGCAAGATAGGTTTAAATTCTATATTCTCCCCATCTTGAGAGGGAATATTAGGATATACCGGTTATTGAGCTATACCGGTTATACCGGAATCTCTTGTATTCATATAAATACACATCTTATAACAACATTTTCTACAGTAATGAATAACAAAATCTTCTTTCTTCATCGTCTTCTTCCTCTCGATTCTCTTTAACTAACATATGCTACCATCAAAAAATGAGAAAGCGAGAGATCAAAGCATTTGCACGAGCTCATCATGAAAGAACTTGGGACCGGAACAAGATAACAGAAACCTCAAAATTTGTAGGGTGGCAAAGACTTAAGGTAAGCAACTACGCAACATCAAGATTTTTTTTGAAACCAAGAGTTTTTTTTTTTTTTACAAGACGATCAATCGAACTATCTGCCCCATATACTTAAACGCCTTTGCGGTTTCCTTCAAGCATTTGTTTTTCTCGTCCCGAGTCCAGTGCTTCAATTTTTACAAAAGCATAAAGTCAGATCAAAAGCATTGAGAGGAATATAATGTTTTCAAGTAACTAGAGGAATCAAGAACTATAATAATAATAGCATTGACACAATCTCACCTCCCCGAGCACGTTAAGCTTCTCACGGACACCTCTAAGCAAGTCTTGTGCATCTCCTTCCCACCTATTGAACTCCAGCTCTTTCCCTTCAAGAAGCTTCTCAGATACCTTCAAGAATCAATTCCTAGGTTACTTTTTTGAAAACCAAGCAATTATGAATTGTCATGATTGGAACCAGAACATTTTTCCTTTATCATTGCAGTAGAACCAAAGCACAAACAAAAAGAACCTAGAGATTATTGACACATCTTGAAAAATGAGGACAAAAGGAACCAATCTTGGTCTTGGTTGGGTTTGACAAGAACCTAGAGATTATTGAATACATCTTGAAAAATGAGGACAAAAGGAACCAATCTTGGTCTTGGTTGGTTCGACAAGAACCTAGAGAATATTGATACATCTTAAAAAAAAAACGAGGACAAAAGGAGCAATCTTGTTTCGTTCTCATTCTAATCACAACTCTTTCGATAACCTCAAGCTCTCTCAAATTCCACTATATATCTCTATGGAGTTGAAGAACTCTCCAATGAAACAGTTTATCAGATAACTGATCAAGAAAAACTGACCTGCTTCACTAAAACTTGACCACCAGCAATGTGAGAGAAGTAGATACTGTAGAAATGAGAAAGAAACAGAGCTGCGTTTTCACTCGCTTGTTCTTCCAAGTACTTTGCATACGAAACTCCAACCTGACTTGGTTCCGGTATCACCAAATTCTGTGCTCTAAACCATTGTAGATCTTTCTCAAGACTCTCACATCGCTCTAATCCTGTTCTCCTAAAGTAAGCATCTGTAGAATTTCCCCCAAATCACTAACAAAATCACACAGAACTTACTGTTGTTTAGAGAGAAGGGATTGATTGATTTTCTTACAGGAAACATCCTCAGATTCATCTACGATTCGTTCGATAGTGTCGAAGACAAGCTTGCTATCGACCAAGAAGCTTAAAAATCCTTCCTTGCTCGGGCTCCATGTCTCTCCTTCCAAACCATCGTCTTCTTCTTCTTCTTCTTCGTTGTCGGTTTCGGGATCCAGTTTCTTCCCATTAACGTTGCGTAATCTCATGGCGACGAATCTCATTTCCTCTGTTATCCCGACGTTTTCTCCTGGGTACTGTTTCCTGTACTTTGTCCTCTTCCTCTTTGGGCTGCTTGGTACAGTCATGGAAGACGATGACGAAGAAGAACGACATGGATTGAGGATAAGGTTGTTTCGGTTTGTCCGAGTCGGGAAAGAGATAGTAGAGGTTTGGGGATGACGGTGAAGAAGAGAGAGACCGAGCTTAGGAGGTGCTTGAGTTGTTTGCCTCATCGGAGAAGAAGAAGAAGAAGCCATGGATTCCGACGAAACCAAATTTGATTGACAAATTTTTCTTTTTATTTTTTATGTTTAGCCAATTTTCTCTCTTTTTTTCCTCCTGCAGTTTTTTTAAAATGTGCTCGTCCAAAGAAGATAATTAATTAGAAACTAAGGAAAAATTAAAAAGATAATTAGTAACTAGATTAGTGAAAGAAACTCTCGAAATTTTACAAACAACAAAAGAAAACAATTTCTTTTCTTTTCTTTTCATTACTTGAGCTTTACACAGACATGGTAATGTTTCTTTTTTCTTACAAATCATTAGCTAAGCTAAACAAAACCCTCTTTTTTTGTGTGCCTAAAAGAAGATTACAGATTCTATCTTAAAACTTCTCCTCTGCTCAGTCATTGGGATCTATACCTTTCTCTGCTTCTGTTAACTGATCATTATAATCATCTAACAAGTAATCACAAATCTCCAGCAACTGATCTGCCAAAGGTGGTATCCCTGGGTTACGCCCGTCGTTGTAAAGATGAGCATTGAACTTGATCTGCCACACATCGTGTCTAAACTGCTCTCGGTCTCTGTACTCTATCTTCCTCACCTTATCCCGTATTGTCGAGAGATCCATCGGGCGTTCCACAACGTCAAGATAGTCCGGAGCCTCCTTCTTGGAAACCGGTTTCAAGAAGAGCCGTGACACTTCTTCTTTGAGTCTTAGTGTGTCCACTATGCTTTCCAAGATGTTTGCTAGCCCAACCTGTTGGTAAATGAATAGAGGAGAGAAAAACAACAAATATGAGTTCATAGAGGATCAATGACACAAAGTGAACAAAGTAGATATGGAAGTAAAGAGAATCTCTTTACCTCTCCTTTTTTGCGTCGCTTTGGTTGAGGTGCATAATCCACACCGTTTAATTCCAAGTCGGAGACATACCGGCTTCTGACGTTCCGGCCACGTTCTGACAATCTTCTATCGTTTCTTCGAGGAGGATAATCTTCTAGATACCCTTCTATTAATTCGGGTTGTAGCTTCTTTTTCTTCTTTTTCTTCTTGGCTTTTTGTCGTTCCTCTTCCTCCCTCTCACTCCGTATTACCTCTTCGTATCTTCTGATCTCAGCTATCTCGTTGGGTTCTTCTGATACAATCATATCGTCATAATCTATGGATTCTCTGTGCCTTCCCCTACTTATCTCCTCTTGTTCCCACCATACTCTATCTTCTTTTGGTCTCATCTCTAGAGAGTTCTCTGAAAATCTGAAGCTCTGCTGCCTCTGATAACCCGCCAGTTCGGCCATTCTTTTTGTTTTACGGGACTCAAACCGTGGACTCTCTTCAAGACTACTCATGTCATGATCAGTTATATCTTTCGAACGTTTTATAACAAGTTTCTTCTGAGGCTGTTCTCTTTCTGTCGGCGGTCGTATCACGAGATGAGGCCTACGAGATTCAGCTTGATCTCTATCCATGCTTAATGATGGCTGCGGAATAGAAATAGTGTTCCTGCTTGAGGCACCCTGATTTCTCTCTGCACTAGAAAAGTGTTGTCCAGAAATAGAAGGCTTGTGAGATCCGCTCTCCCCTCTCTCTCTGCTATATGTAGGCATCAATGAATGCGGAGGTCTGTCAGGTTCAATCTTTGATTCTTTAGGCCTTGCCTTACTTGAAATCTTGAGTTTGCTGATCTTAGGTGTGGGCTTAGTCCCAATGTCTATGTCAGACACCGGTGCTTGCTCAGAACTTTCTGGAGCTTCTAAACCAGATTTATCTGACATCGCTCCTGCGGGGATACCATATCTAAACCTCAGAGGGAGAACCCCAGTTTTGGAAGTTGAATTTTCTCCCTTCGGAGCTTCATCTACAGGAACTTTCACTGCACTTTTTGGCGCAGCCTTGCTGTTCTTAATAGGTTTCAGCTTGGCCGGACCTGATACTTCTGAAGAACTCGGTTTTCCCGCAGACTTCTCCATATCTATGCCTTCGGGTTGTGATTCTGTATTTTCTCTGTATCTTGGGCAGTGTTTATTGGTTCTCATGTGTCCATGCTGGCCATGAAGATAATATCAAACGCCTTTCTCTAAGAAGCAAGTTTAGATTCATAATCTAGTGTTATAAGTAATTATACCTGACCACATGCTCCACAAACAAAGTTCTCTCTCGCCGATTTCTTTTCCTTGAATACCTGGTTAAGACCAAGAGCACAGACAACACCTCAGAATGACCACAAAAGTATTTGAACAAACTAAATCGATAACATGTTGTACTGAGTTAATTGTACCTTTAGGTTTTCAGTCACTATTTTGACCTTCCTCAGCTGGCTCAAAGAATTGCTGCTCTCTTTTACCTGTTTACCTTTGGGGGTCTTTACAATAGGGCTATCAACCTGCAAGAGGAATTAAAGATACGAGTTGGTCAACACATGCAAGACATCATGGTTTGACACAGTAGTCAGAGAAGACAAGAGCAAAAGGGTTTTAAAAAAATTTCAAACTTGTACTGACATTTCTGGTGTCTTTGACGGTGCTCTCATTTACTAAGAAAGATGCATCTGGTTGGATTGCAATAGGTTTCTTGTCATTGACAGTGGTCTTTCTTACAGGTTCATTATTCTGAAAAACTACATTGGGCCGTGGTGGAGGAAAGGACCCCATTCCCTCTCCCACACCTTTCAGCTTCTTCTTTTTCTTCTTCTGCTCCTCATCTATGTAAGCATCACCAGTCAGCGGTTCATTGACAAAACAATCTTTAACTAATAGCACAAATGGTTACTTGAAAGCACATACCTTGCATCAGCAATCGGCATAACTCTGCATATTCAGTGGCTTCATCTTCAATTTCTTCGTCTGTCTCAACTTGAGATGGCCGCCGTCTCATCTTGAGACCTTTAACTCCATCTAACTTGTCATTCTTAGACATAGTAGATTCTTCCCCCTCCCCACCTTCCTCAGCGTCGAGTAAGTTTTCCAGATCTCCGGCAAAGGAGTCCAAGTCACTGTTCGCCTCATTTTCACTTTCATTATCATCACCATCAAAAGCTGAAAGGGACAGAAGCTGCCTATCCCAAATCTCCTGACACTTTTCTCGGGCCTGCTGTTGCATCTGCAGGAAAGACATTCTCTGACCACGGGCATACTTGCCTATGGTTGTAGGGTCAACCTTAACACCGGATGCAGCCTGCTCACTTGACAGCTTCCGTATCATTGCTATACGGTGCCATCGAGTTTGCTTGGCAATTATCTCATCGGGGACATTAAACTTGAGAAGAACCTATAAAGAGAACAGCCAAACCATATCTTAATTCGAATTTTCAATGGGCTAAACTTCCGTAGAAGTCTAACAGGAATGGGACACTTGTAAGAAAGATGTTCTTTTAGGTTCCTAGACATCTGAAACAATTAATTGTATACCTCTCGAGCTGCTTCCATGCTTAACCTGCGAAGATCAGCATCTGTACCAGTGACAGTTGGGGCTCCACGGCCAGCTGCTGCCTTTTTCTTCATATGCCCGGCTGCAGCTGGTGCTTTTGGTGCAGCTCTGACATAGCTGAATCCTAAACCCCGTCCAGACGGATCGCCAACCCCAGTAATTTCCAAACGCTCTATATTTGCTCTGTCCTACTCAAACCCACAAAATGAAAATCAGATATGTGAGTATCGAACCGGCCAAGTTACAGACGCATGACCGATGACAGATCCGAAGTATTAAATCATCTTTCCCTGACAAGATTCAGAAAGGCTCTTAACATAACTAGAGAAGATAGAACTGAAATAGTAACTAGTCCTGCTTGCAGAGAACTAATAGTGTATCACCCTAGCGTATCTATAAAAGAGAGCCGAGAATGACAACGCCTTTAACGGATTAGACGATTAGGGTAACTCAATGGCTATGTAACTCCCAAATGTAGATAAGTGATGCTCACCTGATTTGTACAAGCAACAAAATTACTGCTCAGGTTCCATGGAGTAATTTGCAACTCCCTCTCAATATGTGATGCAGCGGCAAGAGCAATAGCTTCGTCTGGGAGCTGAGCTAATGCAGCTGATATGCTGGCAGGCAATGTAAACCGGGTGATCCCTAAATGTTTGAGCCGGTACAGCCCAGCTAGCATACTCTCATAGGAACACACCTAGGCCAACAAAATATAGAAAACCATGCATATTTAATATTTTTCTAGTAATAGCTCTCAAAAGCTCATTCAATGCAACTTTGAACGGTAGAAAACAGATGGCGTGTAAACCATGAAATGAACTCAAAGGCGAAACTTACATGCTCTGGTGCAACCAGCTTTTTCAGCTCATTCTCAGTTGGATCTTTAAATTCCTTTTTTCTGAACCAACAAGGCTGGCCATTTTTATCCCTCTGCATTTTGTACGTTCATGCAAGAGGTCAGCATGATAATATGATACAGAAGCGTGATGACGTTAAAAAAAAGTGTGCAACTCTAGATGCTGCTTATGGGGAAGTGAGAATTGAGATACCTTCAAATAAGCACAACCTTTCATGTTCCTCTTGACAATTGCATCTGTCAAGTTAGAAAATAAGAAAGACAACTCATCTGCAGCAATTGAGTGGCGCTCACCACGCTTTAAAAATTCTCGGTACACATAGACCATCATCCTGTTCACCAAATAAGTCTGTAGATTCTTTGATCCGGGAGACATTACTTCCATGCGAGGTTCCTGGAAAAATATAATCTGAGCACGCCCTTTTTTTTGAAACTAAGGCAAAATAAGATGCAGATTGCCATAATTTCAGCACGCCGTATAATGCAGATGAAACTTATAACCAAATTCTAGTAGCTTAGAACACAACTGAAATGAGCATCTCACCTCTCTCTGATCATCACTGTAGTACTTTCCCCAACAATATCTATTTATTCTATATGTGTTAGCTTTCTATACCCTTCCATCACTTATTCTAAAATTTTGCTAGGACACCAAAGCGAAAGTACCAAAGTTAAAAGTGACAACGCAAAAGATTATAGAATTAACTCGCTCAGGCTAGTAAGCTCCATTTTTACGCTTCTAATTCACAAGCATAGAATATATAGATTCAAACTAGATTGTGTGTGTATGTCTATATATATATATATATATATATAT